TCTGCCATTTAATTGCATTAATTATATATAAAAGTATTTATGTCCAAAGTTGATTGGACCTAGGGCATAATACTTACAGGTGAACAAAAATACGAAAATATAAGTGCTTAGTTGGGACACGTGCTAGAGAGTTGGTTCACGTGCATCGAAGGTTGTAGCCCGATTGACAAGAGACATACACGGTCCCCCTGTTACTGCCATTACACGACACCGTAGCAGTAGTCAGATTTTCAATTCCGCCCGACTCACTGGCTCCCTTTCCAGTTTAGCCGCATAAGAAGAAAGAAGGTAGAAAGGGCAAAGAAGCAGTTGCAGTTAGTTTTCCTGACTCACTGACTGACCGCAGAAGAAAAGATTAACTAAAATAGATTCCTTTGCATGATATAATTTGTGGGACCTACTTAATCAACATTGGGTGGGTCCACCCACCCACTACTTTCATTTTTAATAATTAAGGTTGGAGAGACAGCCTGGCCAATTTGTCTCTTCATCTTTGACCTTTGACTTCATAACACAAAAACATATATTTGGCCCTTCGAGCCATTTTATTTTGAAAAAATGTATTTTGAATAGTGTATTGATTGAAAATATGTGGTTAAATTATAAAAAAAATTAGATTTATGTGTAATATTATTTTATTGAAAAATGTATGATTGAAATAATATTAAATCACTATTTAAAAATGTATTTTTTCTTAATAATGTGGATCAAACATGACCTTGGTAGGTGTACTAATTTATACATTCAAGGTGTAGAAAATTTCATTTAGAATTTGTTGAATTATATTTTGCAAGTTTATGTTTTAAGCTATTTAGTTAAATTGTATATTTCTATAAGTTCTTTTTTTATTAAGAAAATTTGTATTGCTAGAAAATAGTTTTTTATTTACTTTTTAGAAAAGGAAATTTTAATTTACTTGGTTTTGTTTCCTATAAATCAAATAAATGATAAGTATTAATTAACTTGTTTAAGATATATTGTGTTTCTTGTAAATAAGTTCACTCTATTATTTGAAAGATATTAGAGATTACTTAGAAGGCAAATTCTTTTTCCCTTTGACGGAACTATCTATTTGTTGTATAACAATATTCACTTTCTTAAAGTTTGCAAATTTGGACTTACCACATTGAAATTTGAGTAATATTATTCAGTATTGATAGTGTTAAAATATGAGTCTATTTGATATTAATATGTCATTAAATGAAATATACAATTAAACAAATAATTTAATCCTATATTTTATTGAACTCATCACATAACGTCATTTAAATTGGTACTCCATCCGTCCCAATTATATAGGCTGTGTTTCCTTTTTCTCTTATCCCAAATATATAGGTCTTCCTAATTTAGAATATTTTGTTTTGTTCTTTTACCGATATACCCTTATTCAATTTTCCCAACTTAATATACCAACTTTTTAAAATCATCCAAATACACACATTTTTACTTATTGGAAACATGGAATAACTCTCTTTTCTTCTTTTTCAAATTAAATCATTCAAATTCTTTACTAATTCCAACAATAATTGACAACTACATATTAAAAATTAAATTGGGATAAACTAGGAAAGATCTTGACAAAAGTTAATTTTCTAATGACATTAAACAAGAATTCTTAATCCATGTAAAAAATGAAACAAATTTATATAATTGGGACGAAGGGAGTATTATAAGATCAATGATATTAGATGATAAATATACTTTGAAGAGTAAAGCTATCGTTATCAATAATTAAGAAAATGAATTAGCCCAACTAACCTCAAATCAATTACTAAGCAAAGAGGACGATTTCAATTAACATTTAACATTGATGTATGCATGTCTTAGATTTCACCATGAAAGTGGGTCCCGGTCCTTACATCTTTGACCAACCGTGGTTAAATCCTTAACCAAAGGAAAAAAAACACACATACGGGGAATAACTGCAGTAATAGTACATGTTCACAAGAATTCCCTGAGTATGTCTGTCTCATTTCGTACATAACCCATCACTCCCACAGGAAACGGAAAGAGAATTTGCAGTTCCCCCTCTCTCTAAGAACTTTCTCTACTTCTTGTTCATATATACGGATCATATTCGTACACATATTTATAGAGGAATCAGGGAAGAATATAACATGCCAGGCAGTTTGGAGCCATTGGATGTGGGCGTGCAGATCCCCTACCATTTTCTGTGCCCAATTTCGCTTGAGCTGATGCGTGATCCGGTGACTGTTTGTACGGGCCAGACGTATGATCGGACTACTATTGAGTTGTGGGTGGCTAAAGGAAATACGACGTGCCCGTTGACCCGCTCGCCGTTGACGGATATTGCTCTCATTCCGAATCATACTCTCCGGCGGCTTATTCAGGACTGGTGCGTTGCGAACCGGTCGTTTGGTGTGGGGAGAATTCCTACGCCGAAACAGCCTGCGCCTCAGACAATAGTGAGGAATTTGTTGAATCAGGCGTCCTCTATGTCGGCGCCGTTCGGTTTGAGATTGTCGGCTTTGAGGAGACTCAGAGGACTCGCGCGTGACTCCGATAAGAATCGGTCTGTCATTGCAGCGAATAACGCAATTGAGATTCTTTTCGCTATTGCATTTTCCGATTTGGGTTCTGATTCGAATTCTTCCGAGTTGAGTCATGAGTCACTTGCGGTTTTGTCCCTGTTTTCGCTCTCGGAGCCGAAGTGTATGTTTGTGGCAGCCAATTCTGACAGAGTTGGATACCTTGTGAATCTACTTTTTCATTCTTCGATTGACGTCCGAGTCAACTCGGCCGCAGTGATTGAAATTGTAGTATCCGGGATAAGGTCCCCGGCTCTCCGAGAACAAATCAGTGATGCTCCCAAAATATTCGAAGGTATCGTCGGAATTTTGAGCTTTCCATTAGCATATCGTAGGGCATTGAAAATTGGAATCAAGGCGTTGTTCGCCTTGTGCTTGGTGAAGCAGCACCGGCACAAAGCGGTAACGGCGGGAGCTGTGGAGGCCCTGATTGACCGCTTGGCGGAATTCGAAAAATGTGATTCGGAGAGAGCACTCGCCTTAGTTGAATTACTCTGCCGGATTCCTTCTGGTTGTACAGCGTTCGCAGCCCAGTCGCTGACGGTACCGCTTCTTGTAAAAATCATTCTAAAAATCTCCGAGCGTGCAACCGAATATGCCGCCGGGGCATTGCTCTCACTCTGCTCCACCTCCGAGCTGACTCAGCGTGAAGCCGTGGCCGCTGGCGTGTTGACTAAGCTGCTGTTGCTTGTTCAGAGTGATTGTACAGAAAGGGCAAAGCGTAAAGCGCAACTGCTCCTGAAATTGCTGCGGGACTCCTGGCCTGAGGACACACTTGCAAATTCGGATGATTTTGCCTGCAGCGACGTCGTTCCTTTCTGATTTTATCCTTAATTGAAACTCTATTTTTGTTGTAAGTGTAAAATGGGAAAAATAAAAACAAAGGAATATAGGTGTCATTAGGAGGGTTATGATTTTAGTACATAGGGTATTGTATTGCTGTATGTATTCTTGTAAGTAAGAATTTTTAGTTGGATAATTTTTTTCCTTTAAAATGGAAAGAAAACTCGGGTCTTCATTTTATGCTATTGCATGGTGAGATTTTAGTATAATGAGATTGGAAGTGTAAATAGAGTTTGTGTTTATTAAAAAAAAAAGGTTGAACCCCAACCTTAAGGGCCCCACCGACCCTGCCCTGGGTCATCGTGGAGGAGGTAAATCGCAGGATGTGCCTCTCAGGAGTCAGGGTGGAGAGCACATGGATAGGCCAAGGCTGTTAACCCATATGGTAACTCCCGCTTGCAACAAAGTCAATTCCACCTTGCGGGGAATCGAACTCTGCACACTGCCGCGCTGAGTCCTATCCGCCCTCCCCTTTGCCACTGGGAGATATGCCCCGGGGGCAATAGAGTTGTGTTTATTACTTATATGTATAGACGTGTACAATATTCGACTTTTATACAATAAAAGTTCAATGTGCCATTCCGTTTCATCCTCTACAAAAACTCTTGAAATAAATTCTTAAAAACGAAATGTTGTTATTAGTTTGTAATCTTACAGAGAGGGCATGCTTAAATTTATTCATAATGTGCATGTCGACTCATACACTAACATTTATATATGTATTGAATTAGTCCACTGTATTAAAGCAGATAGTCTTTAACATTTCATTATAATTGTATAATTAATTTTCAACGACTAAAATTATTCAATTCTCTCTTTTAAATTATCAAGTAACCATCACACACCAAATTTTATATAACTAGTTTTTATTTTTAAAGGTAATAAAGATTTATACATATTCTATTATTGGAAACCGATTGTGACCACCTTGTTTATTTTAAAAGATTTGAGACTATACCCCCGTTTGACCCCTATTAATTTTGATTATAATGGTGGGAATAATATTTTTTTGAAAAATGAATGATTGTAAAAGAATGAAAAGTTTTCAATTTACGTGTAATATTATTTTATTGAAAATTGTGTGGTTGAAAATATAAGAGAAAAAATTTAATTTAATTTGATGAGATGTGATGGGGTCAAACGGGGGCTATATTATTACTCAGACAATAAGTTGAGGACCAATAATACAACTTTCCCTAAATATAATTAGCTTCTTTTTTCCATTATTATCAAGTGTTGACCAAAATTAATTTGATTATTTGGTTGATCTTTGATAAGTTGATGGTGGCCTTAGCACAAGACAAAGACAAAGACATGACAAAGGACCATATATTTGAGGAAATAAATTGATGTCTCAACTTCCTTTGACCATAGGTCCCACGGAATAATCATGTAGGACACCTTCATACCAAAGGTCTATTGAGAATAATAATGGCATGAAATGGTGGGGCATACCAATGCTTTTGTATTATTCAATTTAAATTACCTCAATACTCTTCGAATTATCTAAAAGGTTCATAATTACTCTTTTATTAAAGTAAAATTCTTCTTTTTATCAATTGAAATATTAAAGTAAAATTCTTCTTTTTATCAACTGAAATTCTATTTAAATTGAACAAACTTCTTTCAAAGCATACAATTGATTCTCCTATTTCTTCATATTCTGGTATATGATATGATTCTAACTTGTTCTTTGGTTGGATTGTCTTTATCTTTGTCTTTGGTGTACCCCCTCTTGGAGTTCGTGGGTGAGGGCAAAGACCGAATAGAAATCGCATCAATATATATTCTTTTCTTCAACCAATTGCTCTCGATCGTTCATTTACTAAGCTATTTTTAGAAATTGGAATAGTTTTTCGCTAAACGAGTGTGAAAGTTCAACGATCCCGATAATATGCCTTCCCAAGCTAAAAGCTTGTTTATTCTATTCATTGGATAAGATGGATATGGACAGTATAATAAGAAGAATGAAAGAAATTAGGCCAAAATACTAAATGAAACTGGATCAGTTTCCTTTGTTCCCAAGGATGTTTGGTGGGTGAAGTTGGACTGTATTGAATAGAATTTTTGAAGAGAATAAGTTAAGATATTGTTTATCAAATTGTACAACGTTTTAAACTGTACATGCATCTTATGACTTTACTTAAGAGAGATCTTCGATGTTTTGATTACTCGAACGGTTGAGAACAAGATAAAATTATAGACCTCAACCAACCAATTAAAAAAAATCAAGAAAAATGTTATTGTTGCAAATAATCATAAATGGCATAATCTTGTACTTGCTTATTTACTTTTGGAGAGAGTGATTTTGTGCATTCTTGAATTGGAATTGTTAATTCTCATTTCTCAAGTTCTGTCTGTGCAAATTTCAAAAATATGTAATACAACGAGATGAGAAATTAAATTATAAACCTCCAAAGGTGGTATTGACTGACATCTTTTAGTCAACTGGTTAATAAAAGTTTCAAAGTTCCAGTCGAGGATTATGCCGTTAAACATTGCGTGCTTGAAAATTTATTCTAAAAAAATTGTACATCTATTCACCTGAGATCTGACTTCACTATCCTAACAAACTATTTGAAGATATTTAATTAGGAAAATTTGCCAAATGATGCTGCTTTGGTTCGGGATGCTACCTGTGAGCAGATGAAGGGAACAATCATTCGCCACGAGCTCAACAAACTCAAATTCGATCGCACGCCTAATCGTATCGACTTGCTTACCTTGAACGTTCATTTCTTAGTGATACATCAGTCGTATCTGATCAAAGTACTCTTGATGCCCAATCCTCAATATGAATAGTCATGTATGCCCGTATCTCCAACAAAAAACATAAGCTGAGAATAATAATAATAATAATAATAATAATAATAATAATAATAATAATAATAAT